CCCTCAACTGTGTAAGGTTCCTAGTCTGCTTGGATTGGGGACTCCCTTAAGAAGAGTAGTGGCTGAAATCTTTCCCCTTGTTTGTGCAGTGGGTATAGCCAAAGGGCATCATCCCCCCCAAGAACTTCTTACCTGTTTTATGTTAGATGAGCATTTTGTTAATCATCTTACATTTTTAAAATTACAACAGTAGAAAATGTTCCCTATAGAAAAGCATTAAAAAATATAGATAAACAAAAAAGGAAAGAGAAGAAAAGAAAATCACCCTAAACCTCCATATAACCTATATTGATTTTTTGGATGTGTTTGTTCCTGTTCATGGGCTCACTTACCTATCCTTTAAAATGGGATTATTCTTCTGTTTTATAAGCTGCTTTTTAAATATAGTAAACCATGAGCATATTACCATGGTAATAAATATGTCAAGGAATACATTAAGGCATTATTATATATCATATACACATACATGTGTCAATAAAAATATTCTTATTTTGAATGAGGGACCAGTTAGCAACAATTAAAAAATAATTGTATGTCATTTTACAATTTACAAAGTATTTTCAATATATTAGTTCAATTATCCAAAGATTATTAAGCAGTCAGCACGCTTCTTGGAATGTGGTGTCACCGATGCCCCAGCCCATCCCAGTCAGGGAGACCAAGCCTCTCCTCTCAGAGCCTGGGGCCTGAGCCTACTCTGGCCCAGTGCAGGTGCAGAGGTGCTGTGTTTTTGGTCAGGAAGGGTTGCTGTCTGCTGCCATGCCTTTCCTCACTTGGAGAAAAAGAAAACACCCTCCCTCTGACCCTAGAAAACAGTGGAGGGGATTACTGTACCTCTGGAGGTGGCTGGTTTCTGACCCGTGAGTGAATTCTCTGAGGCTTGGCTTAGGCAGTGAGGGCTTTTAGGAAATGAACAGTAGCTCTGTAGGAGCTGGTGGTTCTCTCTTGGGGGAGAAGACTCAGCGGCGATGATTTTCCTGAGCTGGCTCTTCCTGGCTGCTTGTAAATGATCTGAAAGGGACCTCTTGACCTGTGTCTTGGGCAGGTGACAAAGTAGATTAAACCTGAGGTTAGGTCACACAACTTCTACTGCCCACTGCTGCTTGGGGCTCAGGTCCATGTAACTTACATTTCTCCAGTTTCTTTCTTGAGCTCTATTCCTGCCAAAAGAATACCAAGTGGTTTTGGGGGGGTTTTTTTGAGACAGAGTGTCACTTTGTCACCCTGGTTTAAGTGCCGTGGCGTCATCTTAGCTCACAGCAACCTCAAACTCCTGGGCTCGAGAAATCCTCTTGCCTCAGCCTCCCGAGTAGCTGGGACTACCGGTGCCCGCCACAGCTAATTTTTCTATGTTTAGTAGAGATGGGGTCTCACTCTTGCTTACTCTGGTCTCCAACTCCTGCCCTCAAGCAATCCACCTGCCTTGGCCTCCCAGAGTGCTAGGATTACAGGCATGAGCCCCCAGCCCCAGCCCCAAGTCTTCATTTATATTGCCCACCTTCCATTGTAAAAAATGAAGGGGGACATTGGCAGAGGAAAGATGACTGCTTTAGTCAGCCCCCAGAAGGCTGCTTCTTTGAATGCTGGTGTCCCTTAGCAAGGCTCTCACCTGGTGTTGTAGTCCAGGCATCCTCAAACTACCACCTGCAAGCCGTGTGCAGCCCACCTTGTCACATTTATCCAGCCCGCCGGGTGTTTTTGCCACTGCTGCCTGTCCTGCTTAGCAGCTGACTCGTCCCAGGGCCCGCCGTCCGGCCCTCCAATGGTCTGAGAGACAGTGAACTGGCCCCCTGTTTAAAAAGTTTGAGGACCCTTGTTGTAGACTCTGTAAACCTCCTCAGACACATTCCCATTTCATGTCCTTTCTGAGGAGAAACCACCCATGTTTACTAGCTACAGCTGGTAGTTTCTGGATGAGAAATAGCTGTTGGTGTTAGTGATTCCTTGCAGCTCTTCTGTGAGGTAGGTATCTCTGTCTTGACTGCTTGAGAAAACTGAGATTTGGAGAGGAGAACTTCCTTCCCCAAGGGCACGTAGCAGGTGAGTGATAAAGTAGGCATGTGACCCCAGTCTATCTAAATCTTTCTTAGGCGGCGTTCTTCTGACTTGATCAGCAGTTCTCACATTTCTCTTAGCTGTAGAACCCTTGACATGGGACAGAGTGTGGTGAGCAAAGGAACAAACCAGGTAAGAGCAGGACTGCCCCCGTGGAAGCTGAGAAGGGTAGGTCCTAGATGGCCAGAGGCATCTGCACAGGACATGGGGAGCACTCGGAAGGGGTGTGAGGACGCAAGCAGGACACCGTGGGATTTTTTAAACATTCTGCTGTCTTTTGGAGTAGTGAGGGCTCAGACACCAGCTGTCTTTGCCTGAATGGAAGAAAGGGGTTCTGTGGGACCTGTGGCTTTTGTTTTCCAGGGTGAGGACGGGCATTAATGCCTAGAGCAGAAAACAGCTCTAACCCCGGAATCTGGTTAGCAGTACTGAGGGTTCTCCGAGGTCACATGGTAGCAGCTACCTGGCAAGCCCATTGTCTAGATGAGTTGCGTTAAGGTTTGTCGTGGGGAGGTGGAACAGTGCAGTTCTTGAGACAGCATTTGAGGTTTATGCAAACCATTTGCAGGACCGTCTGACCAGGCACTCATTCCCGTGCCTCTCCACCAACTCACATATCTTTGAGTTCCTACTGTGTTCCAGAGCCCGGGCTGGGTCCTGAGGATGCAAAGATTAAAAGCTATTATTTCTGCTCCTCAGGAGCCTATAGGCTGGTAAACATACAACTACAATATGTGGCAATCCAGACAGGGCTGAATAACATCTGGGGGTGTCAGGGAAGGCTTCCTGCAGTGTCCAACATTGTTGCCATTAGCCTCTGACTAAAATCTAGCTCCTTTGTCTAGACAAGTCAAGGCCTGCAACTGTCTACTAGGCTTTTTTCCTGTTAAGACACATAAAGAAAATAATAGTATTTGGAGGCCTCATTAGGGTAAAGCCATCACTCAGAGAGCTGGCGGGGCAGCACTGAGGGTTCTTCTGAGGCCCCCTGATATGCC